ATTGGCTGGTGGGTATGGCTTGTGGAGTGATGGTTAATTTGCATATTACTCTTTCATTAGGTAGGATTGACTATATTCCCTGTCCTGTACTCTACATCCCCATGACTATTTCCATGCTTAATTTTTATACAAATTTCTTTTACTTTTAGACTGTCTTTATTTTTCTAAGTTTATTTGTTTTTGTAAACACTTAGAAGGGATTCTGTGTCACTATAAAATCATAAAACTTTTTTATTATGCTATAGTAAGAAGAAAACTGTAAAACAGTAATATGAGGTTCAAGAATCACTGAAGTGAACAGACTAAATTCACTTTCTGTTTCCTAAAACAAAGGTAAACATTCAGGAAAAACTTGAAAAGACCATTAGAAATCCATTTTAATATGTGTGGGGGGGTTTTGTTTTGTTTTGATTTTAAAATATTTTATTGATTTTTTACAGAGAGGAAGAGAGAGGAATAGAGTTAGAAACATTGATGAGAGAGAAACACCGACCAGCTTCCTCCTGCACAACCCCTACTGTGGATGTGCCCGCAACCAAGGTACATGCCCTTGACCGGAATCGAAACCAGGACCCTTCAGTCCGCAGGCCGACGCTCTATCCACTGAGGCAAACTGGTTTTGGCTATGTGTGGTTTTTAAGAGAGTAGAAATTGTGGAGATGGTAGAACATTCTACCCTCAGTACCTAACTAATCAGCTCTGCACTCAAATACTAGGTTCTGTCCTTTGAGCCTGTGAACACCAGAGAAAGATAATGATTTGCTCAGAAGCTTTAAGTGTCCCCATCTCTGAGGATAAGCATTTGAATATAGAAGAAAAAGGGGCAAGGAACATTTTTAAAGAAGGAAGGAAATAAGATAGGTTTAAAAAAAAAAAAAAAAAAAAAAAAAGACAAATCTCCTTTTAGAGAGAATGGTCCATCCACATTACAGAAAGGATTAAGCAGATACATTCAGCTTTTCTAACAGATTTTCATTCTCTAAGGCTTCAATACCCCTCTCACACTCACTCAGATAATCACATTAGTTTTGTCATTAAAAGCTCCCTTTTCATTGAATGCACCTAAACCGGCTTAAACCACCCAAAGAGGTCGCATACATTACCAAACACTAAGACAAATGGAAGAGATTTTCCATTTTATGTCTTATTATTTCACAATATCTAGCTGCATGCTCAGAAAGCTAAGCTAAAAGATTTGGTAAATTATCAGCTAAAAAAAATTTTCAAAATAAACTCCGCTGCACCCTTTAAAACTGCTCTTTAAACTGAGAGGAGAGCTAGTTTTATGCTGACGGAGCAGTCAAGTGACAGAGGGTTTTCTATTTTCCTTTTCTCATCTTCCTAGTGTCCTGTTGGCCAAGTCAATGATTATTTCTGCATAAACGTTGCCGCTTCTGTTAGCAGTAAACAAAGCAAATAAAATCTAACTGTGCAAAGCCCAAAGACAAATTGAAAAGAGTGATACTTGAGTTGACACAGAAACTTGCTGCCTATGGGACCTTCAGAACTGTACAAGGACCAGACAGAAATGGAAATCACCTGCTTTTTTCCATAACTCAACTGTTACTTATTATCTCACTATCCTAAGCCTGCATGGGATATAAAACTGAAACTCATAGACACAGACAACAGTATGAGGTAGTTATCAGAGGGAATGGGGGAGGTGTTAATAAAGGGTAAAGAGGGCTAAATATATGGAGATGAAAGATTATTTGACTTTGGGTGGTTGGTACATAATGCAATATACAGATAATATACCATAGAAATGTACATTAGAAACCTATGTAATATTATTAATCAATGTCACTCCTATGAATTTAATTTAAAAAATGAAATGGAAAAAAGAAAAAAAAGAAAGAAAAGGATGGCTGTTTGTCAGCCCTTTAAAAAGGAGGAAGTGTATCAGAGGGAGGAGGAGTCCTGGTTAAATGGAACTATCCAAGTGAAAGAGCCGTCTCCAACTGGGTAATGTTCCAGGGATTAGTGGGTTGGGAGGACAGAGAGGGGGGTCAAGAAAGGAGAAATAGGATGAACAGTGAAAGAAAGTATCTAAAACTAAAAGTAGTGGGAAAATTCTGAAATCAGGATGAAACCAAAGACAGATGTAGTCAATCAAAGTTTCTCAAGCAAGAAGCAGAGAGAAGTTTATTTTGGGTGCAATTCAGACAAGAAACAGAATCATAAATGTATCTTAAGCAATCAAAAAATTTCTTAATATGTCAAAAAAAAGATAAAGTCAGTAAAAAATAACTGAAGAAAATTACAAGAACTAGTCCTGCATAAAAATAAATAAATAAAAGGTGATTTGGGACAGACACAAAGTTATCTTGCCCTAAAAAATAAATTTTTATACTGTATATATACAAAAGATAAAAGAAGGATTGTGCTAAATCAAAAACAGATGACAAAACATTTCAGATACGTTCCATTCATTTTGAGTGATTATTTAAGAGAGAGAGAGAAATGGAATATTTGTTTACATTTAAGACTCAGTAGAAAATATCTCAAAAGGAACATTAGCCCTCGCTGGTTTGGCTCCGTAGAGCTTCAGCCTGTGGACTGAAGGGTCCCAGGTTCGATTCCGACCAAGGGCACATGCTCAGGGTTGCCAGCTAGATTCCCAGTAGGGGTGTGCAGGAGGCAGCCAATCAATGATTCTCTTTCATCATTGATATTTCTATCCCTCTCTCCCCTCTCCCTTCCTCTCTGAAATCAATAAAAATAAAATTTAAAAAGGAACATCAAAGAAATGTGGAAAAAACCAAAGTTAGACTCTTCACTGTTCCAAATCATAAGCAAACGAAAAAACTGTATCCTACCTTTTTTCCTAACTCAGATTGGCAAACTATAGCCCCCAGGCAAAATGCAGCCCAATTCATTTTTTATAAATGCTAAGCAATATTGGAGCACAATTATCATTTAAATATGTCTATGGTTATTTTCTGCTACTTTCTTGCTGCACCTATTTCAGAAACCATATGGCCCACAAAGCCTAAAATATTTATTATCTAGATCTTTATAGATGTAACAAGAGAATCCCCCATGTTCTTACCATCTAACAATTGATTTGTTCTTCAGGTGGGTGTAAAGATGCAGATGTAATTCTCACTTTGTATACAGAGTTCAGAATTAAATCTGATAGTTGTCACACTGTTGCCAGCAACCAACCCAAACCTTTAGTCAAGTCTTCTATTCCAGTGCAATGTGCTAGATTAGATCCTAGGTTCTGAACAATGGGAGACCTGAGTTCAAATCCAACATCCACCACCCTCTTTGTTGAGCTTAAATTTCCTCTCCATAAAACTGGGATTATACCTCTTTTTCTCACAGTATCTTTGTGAGGATTAAATGAGACAGTGTATATGAAAGTGCTTTGTAAACAGTGAAATAATGTAAAAGGATAAGGTATTATTACCACATAGACATAGATGGAGACTGGTTCAGATTTAGTGTTTCTCATTATTTTGATTCATGAGAGAGATATACTCTTTTAAATAATTTTGTATTATCAAAATTCAGATTAATTCAGTACACATTAACCTCTGGCCTACTATGTTCAAGACACCCACTGATCACTCCACCTTTTATTCTTTATTTATCATTATTCTACTTTGTAGATAAATATCTCTAATAGCAAATGACCTTGTTCCATTTCAGCTACCAAGTTTTAAGCAAGGTGTGCATTTAATATCTCACAGGGACAGTTATGTTAAAAGTGCTTTGAAACCTGGTTCTCAAATTACCAATTCTATTCACATTTCCAGCACTTATTTTGGCTGTAGAGTCAGTCATATTCTCTACACTTAATATTCATCAAGTTGGCCGGCCTTTGTTTTTAAAACTAAGAGGAATGTGCTTTACAAATGAATGTTTTAAAAAGAGCACCTACGATGATGAATTTTGGTATACAAGAACCTTAAAATGAATTACACTTTCCAGAGTGTTTTCACATCCATTATTTTATCTGATCATCAGCACACTCACATGGAGAATGTAAGTACCATTATTCCGTTCTGTAGAGGAAGACATGGAGGCTCAGAAGAAAGCCTTGCCCAAGATCACACAGCTGCTAAGTGGTAGTCCTTGATCAAAGATCCAGTCAGTACTTTTCCACTTCACCTAGCTGCATGTAGATCACCCCTTTATCATGTATGTAGTACGTAGAATGCATAAGTAGTTGACTGATTCATAGTGTTATGAGAGCAGCTGCCACATTGACCATCCTATCTAATAAAAGAGTAATATGCAAACTGACCATCACTCTAACACACAAGATGGCTGCTCGCGTGTGGTCAAAGATGGTTGCCTCCATGTGGACACAAGATGGCTACCAAAAGATGGCCAGCAGGGGAGAGCAGTTGTGGGGGGACCAGGCCTACAGGGGAGGGCAGTTAGGGGCAATCAGGCTGGCAGGGAAGTGGTCAGGGGGTGATCAAGCAGAAGCGGTTAGGGGCAATCAGGCAGGCAGAAGCAGTTAGGGGCAATCAGGCAGGCAAGCAGTTGGGAGCCAGCAGTCCTGGATTGTAGAGGGTGCAGGCTGGGCTGAGGGACACACACACCCATGCACTTACTTCGTGGATGGGCCTCTAGTATATTATATAGCACTACGTGTCTCACATATATCACAAAGATTAAATAAACTGAATATGTAAAGTATATAGCACAGGACTTGACACATAGTAATTATCCCATTAACAGCAACTATTGGTCTCATTTCTACTTTTTATAACTCTGTAATCTTTGCATTTTATCTCCATTATTCATATGAAGAAACTGAGGTTCCAAAAAGTTCAGTCACATGTCCAAAGTTGAGTAACCAGAAAGTGACAGAAGCCAGGATTCCTGCCCAGATTTGACTAACTCCAGAGCCCCTTTGTCACTGAGATTTCCACTGATACTGTACATCAGAGAACACACACACACACACACACACACACACACACACAAAATGGAAAAGTATGTTATTGACAGTGATTGAGCAAAGGACATTTTCCTGTTACCTTGATTGGCCAAGCAGGCAAGTGCTGTAAAAAGCTAGATTCATAAGGGTAGTCGACCATTGCCAGATTTACCCAAGTTTCAGAGATCCAATCTTTCAAATGCTGAACATCCTGAGCATTTTTTAATGGTGTACATAAGTGAAGGGCTTTAGAGAGCCAATCCAAACCAGTACCTGCGAATGTTGAAACATAAGAAGCACTGCTCAACATAAGGTTTTATACAATAGATTCTTCACTTGATATTTTAGAAAACTCAACTTTCAACACCACTTCTCCAAGAATATTTTTTCAACATCCATAAAATGTTTTTAGAGTAACTGCATAATCCCAAATAGACAAGTTGTCTATCCTCTGGAGTTTACCAGAACGCATACTTTTAATTAGTACCTATTCTAAAGATATTATGGAAATAAATAATTAATTAATTAAGTGGAACACTATAGAGCAATGAAAGGCACAAACTACAATTAAATAAAAAACTGGATGTGTCTGACAAACACAGCAATGACAAAAGACAGCACACAAATAAAAATAAAAAATACATACTATGCAATTCCAATGACTAAAAAATCCAAAAGCAAGCAAAATCAAGTTATGGTTTTGAAGTCAGGATAGTGATAGTGACTGGAAAGGGCACACGAAGACTTCTGAAAGGATTTCTTGATTTAGATGCTAATTACACTACATACTTGCTTTGTGAAAATTCATTAAGCTATGTATTTTGATTTGTGTGCTTTTCAAAATGTTATATTTAAATATGTATGTTACACATAAATTAAGTTTCTAAAAAATGTGGAAAATGTTGAATTTAACAAGTGAAAGGCAAAAAAACAACAATGCATTATTTCATTCCCTTAATTAAAGCTTACTCTTTCTTGTGAGTCGATTAATGGCACCCCAGGAACTTCGGATGTTCTCTGAACAATTTGGGCAAGTTCTCTTAAAATCCATAGTTACAATTTTCATAAATACTCCACAAGGTACTAAATCTTCAAACTGCCAGATAGGGGCAGAGGCTGCCAGAGCTCTACATGGTAATAAAATAATGAAAGAGAAAAGAGGGGAAAATGAAACGCATCAAACTCAAGTTTTTGTTAGTTTTGTTTTAATCCTCACCCAAGGACATACTTAGAGAGAGAAAGGGAGACAGACAGGAAAAAAGAGAAATATTGATCTGTGATGTTGATTTCCCTATGCTCCCTGACAGAGAATCAAACCCCAAACCTAGGTATGTGCCCTGATCAGGAACCGAACTGGCAACCTTTTAGTGCATGAGAGGATGCTCACCCAACTGAGCCACTCCTGCCAGGCCAATTTCAAGTTTTTAATTTAAAACTGATACTGAACAAAATTAGTAAGAAAAATAATAGTTGTAAATGAAATAGAAACTAGGAATCTCAGAACAATAGAATGGTACATGTTTTACCCAAAACAAAGCTCTAAGTTTGCCTTGACAGCCATTAAGAAGTACTCATGTCCAACATAAATGCATTTACCCAGCCACCATATGAGGATATTTCATCCTGAACCAGGCTGCAAGCATGCCACCATAAGAGCCCCCCACGGCTATGAAAGGTTGATTTTCAGCTCCTGGAATTGTCCTTTTTAAGTGTTTGATTAACTCTGCAAAATCAGCTAGAGCTTGTTCCGATGTCAGAAAATTCAAGTGTTTGGGATCCTAAAGAAAAATAACAAAGAACATGGGTATAAATGTGCACATAATAGCAGCTTAGGTATAGCATAGATCCAGTAAAAAGCCAGAGTCAGATAAGCTTTTCTCCAAATAAAATTTCTAGGCAATTGAGTTAAAATGCATAGTCAAAGTCATAGCAATGCTGATGTAAAGTAATTTTAAGTTTGTGACAAGAACATAATGTATTTGCATTCAAATATAATTTCCATTAAATGCTATATACCAAAGACCTTGTTGAGGTTTTAGAAACAATAGAAATAAACTGCAAATACTATTTAACAATAAATGTGATGGAATACAATACTAAGCTTAAGGCACCTGCTGTATTACAATTATATTTTAAATCTTCAAACATTTACAATAGGCAAAGGTAAACTAAATCCTATGGAAAACTAAAGAATCATTAATAAAAATAAAACGCATTCTTCTTCTTTTATTTTTTTAATATATTTTATTAATTTTTTACAGAGAGGAAGAGAGAGGGAGAGAGAGTTAGAAACATCGATGAGAGAGAATCATCGATCAGCTGCCTCCTGCACACCCTCCCACTGGGAATGTGCCGGCAACCAAGGTACATGCCCTTCACCAGAATCGAAGCCGGGACCTTTCAGTCCACAGGCCGACACTCTATCCATTGAGCCAAATGGTTTCGGCAAAACACATACTTCTTTATCAAAAAAATTATTTGGTTTTTTGTTTGTTTAATGTATTTTTATTTATTTCAGAGAAGAAGGGAGAGGGAGAGGGAGACTGAAACATCAATAAGGAGAGAGAATCATTTGATCAGTTGCCTCCTTCATGCCCCCTACTGGAGATCAAGCCCACAACCTGGGCATGTGCTCTGAGCCAAAATTGAACCATGACCTTGTGGTTCATAGATCAATGCTCAACCACTGAGCCACATCAGCCGGGCTGTTTGCTGTTTTGTTAATCCTCACCTGAGGATATTTTTCCATTGCTTTTTAGGGAGAGAGGAAGAGAGAGACACATTGACTGGTTGCCTCCCACACTCACCCCAACCAGGGCAGGGAGTCAACCTGCAACCCAAGTATGTGCCCTTGACTAGAATTGAACCCGAGATCCTTCCATGCATAGGCCAACACTGGCCAGGGCAGAAAAATTATTATTATATCTAATATACCAACAACTGAAACAAATTAGTTTGCCTGATCTAAATAACTATTAAAATTAGAGTTAAAGCCGAAACCGGTTTGGCTCAGTGGATAGAGCGTCAGTCTGGGGATTAAAGGGTCCCAGGTTAGATTCAGGTCAGGGGCATGTGCATTGGTTGCTGGCACATCCCCAGTAGGGGGTATGCGGGAGGTGGCTGGTTGATGTTTCTCTCTCATCGATGTTTCTAGCTCTCTATCCCTCTCCCTTCCTCTCTGTAAAAAAATCAATAAAATATTTTTTTAAATTAGAGTTAAAAAACAGTAATTATAGAACAACTATTTTCAGGCATTGGAAAACAGAAACACAAGATCTTAATACCTTAGAAAAGAATATTCATAAAATAAGTGCCATGATCATTTAGCTCTCTGCCTAGTCTTACTGCACTAGGGAAACTAATGAAGTATCTCCCTTTAAAAGCCCTCATACTTTGGACTCACCACTCTGACTCCTTCCATCATTTGGCACATTGGGAGTCAAATAGTTCCCTTCTTTCCTATGTTTGTCACCTACTCCTTTAGCCTTCTGTCTTACCTCCCCGCTCACTGCCTGTCACTATTCTTTACGTGTTTTCATGGCATTACACATATTTGTATGACATTTTTTTCCAATCCTTGCATATTTGTAATATCCTATAGGCAATTGACAAATTCTGTGAGCATACAAAAAGAAAATTATTAAAAAGAGCTTTTAGCTCCATTTAACTAACCAAGTATGAACCATAGAGCCCTAAGAGAGGAGGTTATGTTTCTATCTGCAACAAGCTGACTAATTCCCAATGATTTCAGGAATTCTCAACTTCCATAATCAGATGCAAAATAATAAGTTAAATACAGAGTTTCCGATGCAAACCAACAAATATCAACAAATTTTTCTGCTTTTCATTTATAACATGAAGACTTTTTATTTTATTTATAACAAGGTAATAAAACTTCTGAGAACAAAAATAAAATACTCCTTACAAAACAGGCAGCTGAGAAAAATAATTGACCCCAAGTTCTTCTAAGTCAGAGTTCCTCAAAAGCATGGTATGTGTATACTGTTGGTATGTATGATGATCTTAGGTATTACACAAACACTTTAAATTTAATAATTGTTTTAATATAATTTAGAAAAAATAACTGGTACATAAAACCCTTGTTAAGTTAGTGTTAACTTTGAAAAGTAAGCTGTTTAAAGAAAAATATAAAATAAAAAAATAGTGCACATGGCAAAATCATATAGCCAGAATCACAGGATATTACAGGGATGACTCAGTTGAGGAAAAAGTGTCCTGGTTTATTAGTCGTAAAGTCTATGGCCAAGACCAAAGCTCCTTATGAGAACAGGAAAGGCCAAAAGGGAATCCAAATAGCTAACTAGCCACATTGAATTGTAGAGATTGTTTGTCCTTATTTTACTGAAAAACATCTTATTAAACAAACATTTTAGTTCCCATTATATCTTTTCCAGTGGTAGACCCAATAAGTTAAGTGCATAATTTGCTGATATTTTTGAAACAATGAAAAGTTCCCTCCACAGTCTCTGGAGCCATAGAGAAAAACTATTAGCATCATCACACTGAGTTAAAAACTGATCAACATTAGAAATGATAATATTATGGTTTTAAAGAACCTCAATCTGTTCAAACTGTATATAAAAGTGAAAGATTAAATATAAATTATTGAGCCCTTACTGGTTTGGCTCAGTGGATAGAGCGTCAGCCTGCAGACTCAAGGGTCACAGGTTCGATTCCGGTAAAGGGCATGTACCTTGGTTGTGGGCACCTACCCAATAGGGAGTGTGCAGGAGGCAGCTGATTGATGTTTCTCTCTCATCGATGTTTCTAACTCTCTGTCCCTCTCCCTTCCTCTCTGTAAAAAATCAATAAAATATACTTTTAAAAATCAATAAAATATTTTATATATATATATATATATATATATATATATATATATATATATATACATATACACACACACACACACACACACACACAAATTATTGAAATTTTAGGCAGTTCAAGTTAAAGCTTTCATTTCTTTCTTATAGTGGTATTGTCATTAGAAAATGTTCTAAAATTTTTTAAACTTTTAAACTTAAAAGTAAAAAAGCATACTTACCTGGAATGTGTCAGCACCAAAGGGTAGAGACTGTCCATAGTATCTATGTTCAGCAAACACCAACATAGCTTTCAGTTCCTCAGCCACATCCCACATGAACCCCTAGAAAGAATTTACAAATTCAGAGAATAATATCAGGATATGAAAAAAGTGTGATGGCCAATTTGCATATTACTCTTTTATTAGATAGGACAGTCTTCAAGTTGTACTGTGTGCCAAATAATCTAAGAAAGAGCTGAAGATGTCTCAGTTCACGGCCTACTCATTTACAACATAAAAGAGTACAAATAAGCATACTGGACTCATTTGCATTTTATATTAATCTTATTTACTTGAAAATAAATAGTAACTAGCAATAGCCAATATTAATTAAATGCTTACAATGTGTCAGGCACTGTTTTAAACACTTTATATATATATCAATTCACTCAATTTGCACAACAATGTAGAGATACGCATTTTGATTATTCCCATTTTACAGACAAGGTCACTAAAGCACAAGAGTTTAAATAACGTGGGTTGCAATATTTGCTTATATGTGTACCTTACCCTACAGGCCTATGAGCTGTTGAAGGGTAAGGGCCATCCATCAAAACAGCCAGACTCTCTGTGGAGTTAACCCCAAGCTTTAATTCAATTGAACTGATTCACACTGTAATAAGTGATTATTCACCTTAACTTCAGGGATATTTTTATTTTTCAAAAGATGTCTATGTAATATAGTAATATTTAATAAAATTATGTAACAGCATTGTGCTAAGTGTCTGATTCTTATTTAATTTTCACAATAATTCTACAGACATTATTATCATATCCATTTAACAGATGAGAAAACTGAGGCTCAGAATAAGAAACTGGCCCAAAGTCATATAAAATAGTGGCAAAATCAAAATTCAAGCCTTATCAGTCTGGCTGAAGTCTTCATCCTTGCCTACCATGATATACTATCTCTCAATAAATGAATTACCAGACTATGTGAATATGCAACTAGAACATTTTAGTAAGTAAAGGACCCAGAATCTATCTTTCTAGGATCTGGCTCTAGTCAGTTCTCTGGAACTGTTCCTACACTATCTATTCCTTTCTATCACTTCTGAGGTCAGAGAAGATAAGCCTTCAATTACTGTGCAGTGTCAGCAAGGGCAGTGGTGGCTGGGAGAATCTCACTGTCCCGTGGCCTTGGCATAAAAGGGAAGTCACACAGGAAAAAGAAAGGGATACAAGGCAGATTTGGTTGTTTCACAGAAAACCAGAGCAGGAATCTGATAGAAACTAAGTTCTGATTTCATTTGTCTCCAATCTAAGAGAAACAGGCATCCTAGAATCTCATTTCTCAGAGAATTATTTTATTTTCAAGTAACATATTTATACCCTTAACATTCATAAGGAAATAATCATAAATTTGGTGTGCAAATAACATAATGATTGGGTTCATACCTTTGCTTTCAATTCAGTTCAGTTCAACATTTACTGAGACCTCCTGAATACCAGGCACCATGCCAGACAACAGCAGTGAAGAAACATGATTTTGTTTCCAATTTAAGGTAATTCACAGATTAGGTTTGGGGTAGAAAGTTGACATTTTCTTGTCATAGCTCTGGCACATTATAAAGGAAAATTTCATGTGTCCTACATTAAGTTTTGTTAATGGACTTAAGTTTTATTATAAAAGACAATGTAAAACATACAAAGGAAAGCAAACTAACAACTATACCATTTTGACCCTTATAAACATAAGAAAAATGATAAAACAGTGAAGCTAAATTAAAATATAGCTATAACTTAACCTTTGTCCATTCCTATTTGACAATTAAACTTGTATTTTTTTATTTGCTTTGATGAGGTTTTATTCATTCACTCATTTAACAAATGTTTATTGAGCATCTACTATATACCTAGCTGTCCTGGACGCTGAGCATATAATACCGAACAAATATACAAAAATATGTGCCTTTGTATTTACATTCCAGAGACCATAATAAAAATAAAATAACTGTATGCCAAAACATTCCTGTTCCCATTTTCTTATTTTTGTTCATTCAAAAAAGAAAGATAGGGTTTCAAAAAAATTTTTTTTTAATTCAACTGTCTAAATATACTATTTCATTATTTCATGTGTAATTCGTTAAGGCAAAATATGCAGGCTTAGTGGACATCTGTATTTATTCTTTTGTAAACTGCCTATTCATGGTATTTTGGGCTTCTTTTCTATGTTTTTCTAGTGAGTTTATTTTTTTGTTATTTTTCTAAAGAGCTTCACAATTAAGTTCAGTAATACTTGGTCATACATGCTGCAAAATATTTTTCCAAAATATTATTCATGATAAATAGAGCATAGGAACTTCACAAATCTGCACATACCGTATTGTTGCAAAACCAGATAATGTCCCCTTCATTACCAGTATAGAAAAGTACTGATCCACCCTCTTTCCTCCAGTGTTGATCAGCTATTAGGTACCGCTGTTTAAAAGTTTTCTCATTATTAAATCCAAAATGATCAATCTATGACAAAAACAAAACAGACAAGACACATATTTCAAAGAAAAGTAATTAAATGAAATAAACAAGAAAATAATTAAATTTTTGTTAAAATCCACCTAAGGTACAAAAATTATACTTCATTTGATTTTACTATTAGTAGCAATACTGATACTGTTATTTTTTATGTTGTAAGAAGAAACAAAATTATTTTCTTTATATTGCAAGATAGCAATGTTGGTGGTGGTCAAGATTTTCAGTATAAAAGAAAAGATCCAATCTAATAAAAGAGCAATATGCAAATTGACCGTACGCCACAAGCCACACCCACCAGCCAATCAGGAGTATGCAAATTAACCCAACCAAGATGGCTTCAGCCACTGAGAGAGCAGGAGTCTTTGGTTTCCTCAGCGATGGAGGAAGCCAAGTTTTCTGCCCCCTCTGGCTGGCCTTAGATTCCACTCAAGGCTACAAAGTTTCAATTATAGAAGATAAATAAATCCCAGCAAAAATGGTGGTAGCCATGGAGCTGGAGAGAGCAGGAGGCTTGAGTTGTCCCCAGAGATGGAGGAAGCCAAGCTTCCCCCAGCCTTGGCCTACCTTGGCCTCCACTTAAGACTACAAAGTTTCAATTATAGAAAATAAATAAATCTCAACAAAAATAGCTGCTGCCATGAAGAGAGCAGGAGGCTTGGCTCCATTCAAGGCTACAAAGTTTCAATTATATAAGATAAATAAATCCCAGATACCAGGGCCTCCACTTGGGTTGCTGGGGGGTGTGGCCACCCTGCAAACCACCACAGGCCCCTCACCCAGGCCACCCATGCCCCAAGGGAACCCCCACCCTGAGCCGGGATACCCTTCAGGGCAAACCAGCTGGCCCCCCGCCCATGCACCAGGCCTCTATCCTATCTAATCCTATCTAATAAAAAAGTAATATGCAAATTGACCATCATTCCAACACACAAAGATGGCTGCCCCCATGTGGACAAAATATGGCCATCACAAGATGGCCAGCAGGAGAGGGCCTTTGGGAGGGACCAGGCCTGCAAGGGAGGGCAGTTGGAGCCAATCAAGCCTGCAGGGGAGGGCAGTTAGGGGTGACTAGGTCAGCAGAGGAGGGAAGTTGGGGGTGACCGGGCCTACAGGGAGGGCAATTGGGGGGACCCATGCCTGCAGGGGAGAGCAGTTGGGGAGGACCAGGCCTGCAGCGGAGGGCAGTTAGGGGTGACCAGGCCTGCAGAGGAGGGTAGTTAGGGGCAAACAGGCTGGCAGGGGAGCAGTTAGGCATCAATCAGGCTGGCAGGGGAGTGGTTAGGGGGTGATCAGGCTGGCAGGCAGAAGTGATTAGGGGTAATCAGGAAGGCAGACAGGTGAGGAGTTGGGAGCCATCAACTCTGGATTGTGAGAGGGATGTCCAACTGCCCATTTACGCCCGATCCTACTGAGATCAGGCCTAAATGGGCAGTCAGACATCCCTCTGGGGTCCCAGATTGGAGAGGGTGCACGCTGGGCTAAGGGACACACACCCCATGCCCAAATTTCATGCACTGGGCCTCTAGTACAATTATAAAATGAAATAGCTACTTTAAAACACAATGATGTTAAAATTAAATTGAAAATACTGATATGAACCAATTATTTTTTTCTAAATTTTTATTGAATTTATTGGGGTAGCATTGGTTATAAAATTATATAGGTTTCAATTGTACAATTCCATAATACATCATCTCCCAAAGTTAAGTCTCCGGTCTCTATTTATCCCCTTTTACCTTTTATTTATGAGTCAGTTTCTATTTTGTGAGCCCATTAATTTTTAAAATCTCTTCATTATCTAAACTTTCAATATTAAAATTAAAAACTAAATAGACCACTGAAAAGGTCTATAAACATTGTCACCCCAGTAACACTTGACATTTCAAGGGCCAGGATTTGTGTCTAATACCATTCCCCACTAAAAGGAACTGGGGCTTGTTAGTGATGTGTCTGACTAACATTTGGGTCAAGGAAGCGAGTAAATGAAGCTATGTCTTTTACTGTTCAAGGAAGCAAGGAAGTGCTCAAAAATTAATGGAGTTGTGTCTAAAAGGCATAGGAACCAATTACAAAAGATTATCACTGGGTAAAGTTTTAACAAATTGAATATAAAACCAACTGAGCATAAAGAGAATAATTGTAGTAGATTAAAATATTCAATTCATGAAAAGCCATTAGTCCATAAGGGTATCAAAAAAGAGAAAGCAAGAAAAATTTGCATTTGCCATCATTTAAGGTGTCTAATAAACCAACTCCTTTGAAGTTGGAAAACGAAAGTGTAAAGAACTCAACATTTAGCCAAAACCGGTTTGGCTCAGTGGATAGAGCGTCGGCCTGTGGACTGAAAGGTCCCAGGTTCAATTCCAGTCAAGGGCATGTACCTTGGTTGTGGGCACGTTCCCAGTAGGGGGTGTGCAAGAGGCAGCTGATCAATGATTCTCTCTCATCGGTGTTTCTGGTTCTCTATTCCTCTTTCTTCCTCTCTGTAAAAAATATATTAAAAAAAAACAAACATTTAAGCTGCCTTTTCCAAAGAATTGTATTTCAGTGTACCAAATAGTCCCAGTTGATGAAAAAGAACTCTGTTCAATCAAATGTCAGCCATTGCAGAAGCAATGACAGAAATAGAAAAATCATAGTTTTGTAATCCCTCATGAAGTTACTGATTCAGGTAAAAATTACCAAGTGGTGCACAATAGGAGAGTGAATGATAGAGAAACGAACATTCATATTAGTGCCAAAGTAATATCATAGAGAATACTGTATTTTCACAAAGGGAAAATGTAACTTCACAATGGAAGGATCAGGCTAGCATCACCTTAATCTAGTGATCAATGTGAGCATCACTAACAGTGAAGTAGGCAGGGTTTCTGTATCTCTTCCAATGGTACAACACGAAACACGAATCACTTATGATGAATTCTGTTTTTGTTTCTCACTGCTAAATTGCCCTTCAAAAGGCTTTATCGATTTACAGTTCTACTAACAGTCTATTACTGCTTGCTTCCCTGCATCTTCATCAACGCTGGATAACATTAGTCTTTAAGATTTTTGCCAATCAGAAGGGAGTAAAAACATTTTAAAAGGCAAATCCTTGATAAATTACTGAGTTTGAACCTTTTTCCAGATGCTTATTTGCAATTAACATTCCCTCTTTTGTGAATTATTTATTTGTAATTTGTGCACTTCTCAATTAGCTTATTGGAGTTTTAATTATTCAGTTTGCAGGTGTTCTTTTTTTTTTTTAAATCCTCACCCAAGGATATTTTTTTCATTGATCTTTTAGAGAGAGTGAGAAAGAAGGAAAAACAGACACACATCAATTTGTTGCCTCCTGCATGAGCCCTGATGGGGGCCCAGGGAGGGGAGAAGCCTCCAATCAGGTACCTGCCCTTGACCGGAATTGAACCTGGGACTCTTGGGTCCCTAGGCCAACGCTCTACCCACTGAGCCAAACCGGCTAGAGCTACAGGTGTTCTTATAGAAATTATGGCCTCGACTTTATTTAAAGTTTATTTCCTGTGTGAAGTATTGGAGGAGAGTCACCCTTCTATCAAGCTTTATGTTCCTGTATAGAAGGAGATCTGCCTTTCCATGTGGAAATCTCCTGGCCTCTTGCCCTACTTTCCAGGTCTTCCCCAAGGGAAGGAGAACAACTCGACTTATTGATAACTTCGGCCAAAACACTCAGCTCAGTCCCATCCTCTGTCCTCTCAGTGAAAACGCACTCATCCTTCTCTGTTCCTCCACACCATAAGTGTTACAGGGATAAGCCCTCCCAGGGCTGGCCTCGGGGGTGAAATATCAGCAAACCTGCTTTCCTAGTGGACCCCAACCATGTGGTCCAATATCAGTTGTGGTGGTAATAAGAGTAATATTTATATTTCCATCTGCCACATTCCTGTGTCTATTTCTTAATAGGTTCTTGTGTCAGAGTCCAAACAGAAAACAGAAGGCACATTCAAATTAGAATAATTCAGGAGACTTAATAAAGGGACTATTTATGAAGGTGTGGGAAGAGTATAGGAGAGATAAGCAGGATAGTGCAGCAACCTATGGGTAGTACAGCAGAGCTTTTACCATTCCTAGGCCTAAAAGGGTTAATGGGATGGGGGCATGGCTACTGAAATCCAGAAGAGGATCCTGCAGAGCCAGCTGCCCTCAGATGAGGGACACAGGCAGCTTGAGTCAGCCTGCAGGGAGGAAGCCAGAGAAATAAATACCCTGATGGTTCTCTTCTTCCCCTCTGGCACCAAGAATATAAACTTCCAGCTACATAAACGTAGTTTCTTTCCAAATCCTAATGGCTTAGAATACTAAGACCATTGTGCCCTCTGCTGTTGAGAATTGGGACCTACATGCCACTTTCAGCTCTGCCTCCTGAAGTTTTCTAAATCACATGAAAAGGGACAAGGGCCTTCGAAACTATTTTATATGCGTTGCTCAGCTGAAGAAACTAGGCTTAAAGATCAAGTGACTTTGTCACAAGTCAGAAGCAGAGCTGGAACTTTTAATTAATTTTGCAATTTGGTTTATGTGGTCTAAGAAATTTTAAAGAGATGCTTCCGTTCTTCACCTTGTAGAGGAGAGAAAGATCCATTAGATGAGTAAGCCAAGTACAAAAAAAGCAAAACAAAACATTCTTTAAATAAAGTTTATTGTGACAAAAATAACAATCTGGACTTTAAAACTCAAAAATCAAGTTCACACACAGAAAAGCCTATGAGAACATTACATCTGGTAGACACAGTTTTAGTGGCAATTTTGAAGCAACAGGGATAAGGGGGACAGAGCACCTACTATGTGCCTGGCACCATGCAGGTGCTTTCCACAGATCACTCATCAGCCTCCCAGTCACTCTCTGGGGCACCTTCATTATGCCAGTATTACAATAAGAATGTTAAAGCTCAGAAAGGTCAGATAACTAGACCAAGGTAACATCCTATATAATTAAAGGGTAATATGCAAATCAACTAAACAACGGAAGG